AATTCTTTAACAAGCTGGTATGCAAAGGAAAAGTAAATCAATTTAGGAAGTACTGACATTTTTAATATATTAGCTCAACCTAACCATGAGCTATTAATATTTCTTCAATTATTTAGACTTTTTATTTGTGTGAAAAGCATTTTATAATTGTGTTTATACTGCTCCTGTGTGTATCTTGGCTGGAAGACTCTCACAAATTTTATATTCTCTGAAGTTATCCTGAAAGGAGTTTCTCTTTCTGTATCTTCTGACTGGGTTTTGCTGGTAAGATACAGAAATGCGATGATTTGTGCAGGTTTATTTTATATCCTGCAACTCTGCTGAAGTTCTTATTTCAACTAGTTTTTAACTCTCTAGGGTCCCGTAAATAAACCATTATATACCTGTGAGAGTAATAGTTTTGTGTTCTCATTGCTTATTCTTATTCCTTCAGTTTCTTTTTCCTGTCTTTTTGCTACATCTAGCATTTCTAGTACAATACTGAATAATAACGGTGATGATGAACAGCTTTGCTTCAACCATAATCTTACTGGAACATTTATTCCCATTACAGATGCTTGCTCTTCATTTTAGACAGTTAAAACTTATTTTAAGAAAAGCTCCATTTATTCCCATGTTTCTTTGTATTTTTGATAGGAATGGCTGTTGTATTTTGTCAAAAACTTTTTTCTGCATCTATTTTGATTTTTGTTTTATTACTGACTGCCAATTATGATTATTGGTTTGCTAATACTGAACTAGCCTAGCCCTCTGCATTCCAGTCCATTGTGGTTACAGCATATGATCTTTGTTGATATACTGTTGTTATCTCCTTGTTTTAGTTCATATTTTTGCATTAATATCCATTCAGGAAATTTGAATCATAAAAAGAATTTGGTAGAAATGCTACTTTACCTATTTTTTCAATTTATATAGTAATGGAATTCTTTGATATCTGGTAGAATATTTTTTAATCCATTTGGTCCTGGGGTTTTTCCATAGGGAGTTTATGGCTTGCTAAATTTCTTTTTCTAAGGCAGTTAACCTTAATATTTTATTTGTCTTTTGTTAACCTAGATAATTTATATTTTTGTAAATATTCATCCATTTCATTAAGATCTTCAACTTTATCAGCATATAGTTGGTGAAAATAGCTCCTAATGATTAATTCCATTTTCTCTAGTTATACATTCATCCTTTTCTTTCTGTGACACTGGTTATTTGGTTTTGTTCCTTTTTCTTCCCTTTTTAATCAATTTAGCCAAATGTCTATTTTATTGGTCTTTTTCCTTCCTATAAAACCAGCTTCTAGTTTTATTTATTTGTTCAATTTTTTTAAAACTTTCAATTTTGTTATAATCTCTTGGTTTTCAGGATTTCTACATTGCTGTTTAATTGGGGAGATTAATTTGTCATTTTTCTAAGTTTTTTTTTAAGTTGCATGCCTTATTTATCAAGCTGATCTTTCACTGATTTAAGCATTTAGAGATACAAATTTAAGTAATGCTTTGGCTGCATTCAACAAATTTCGCATGTTGTCATGTTATCACTGTTGTTAATGTTCAATCATGTCTGACTCTGTGCTCATAGAAAACTATTTGGCGTTTTCTTGGCAAGGACACTGGAGTAGTTTGTTATTTCCTGCCATTCAAAATAATTCAACACAGCTTCTAGATGGCACCTTTCCTGCTCTCAATGCTAGGACAGGGGTCACCTAAGATCTCTTTCTGGGTAGGTGTGCAATCCCCTTACCATCCCAGGGCACTGAGCTGCTCACTTTCACTGTTACTATTACTGTCACAACCCAATGACAATACTCCTGATTACCACTCCAGTATCAGCAGACCTCACCAGCTTCCTAAGCTTCCCTGGGCTGGAAAATTACTTATTCTGACTTTTTCTTGGCTTTCCCACTCAGAATTTGGTTCAGCACATTTTTTAGGTCATTGTGGAAGAGGTTTGGGGGGAACTGCTGCAGCAAAGCTGCTAAGCTCTCACTTTGCCATCCTGACTATGCCCCTCTGAGAAGAACAATTTTTGAGAGGAAATAACAACTAACTACAATCACCTTAGAAACGTTCAAAGTCACTACCAATCAGGAAAATACAAATTTCAGCAATACTAAGGTACCCTCTTATACCCAACAAATTAAAAGTGTTAAAGGATGGAAATATTCATTGTAAAGGGGGTTGAGGAAAAGCACACATGCTAATGCACTGCTGAGGGAGCTATGAATTTATTCAACCATTACAAAAAGCAATTTGGAATTATGTAAGAGAAAGTTAATAAAATGACTCAGGGAACTAATTCCACTATTGGGACAAGATATCAATGAAGTTATTGACTGCAAGAAAAATACCCATATGTACAAAATATTTGTAGAAATTGTGTTAACAAAATTTTGAAAACAAAATATACGCCCACTGACATGGGAATGGCTAAGGAAAACAATGTAACAAGTATAACAACGTAAATATAAATAATAAAGTCAACACTGAGGTGTAATGAAACTGGTCAAATGCAATCAATGTTAGTACCACACTGCTGAAGTAAAAAGTCTTCCTTTTATTAATAATCTATTATCTAGGAGTTTCTGAAGTCAACAAACATCAGAGCATAATGATTAAATTTAGAGTTTTGTTCAAGTTCTTTGTAGAATTTTTCTACCTCCTCATCACTTGAAGAAATATTGGCAAGTAACCTACAATTATCTGCATTATAGCCTTTTTACAAATACTTTTCAAATAAGATGATCAAAAGTCCCAGGCAAAGAGTTTCTTATTGCCTCAGAATGCATGATAAAATCAATTCCACCTGCTCCTTTACTTTTCTAAGGAAACAACTTCCATTGAGCTAAAACTTTTTTTTTTATCTTCTGGGAATCTCTGAGTGGTGATGTAAGTTTTTAATCTCTCTTCTAAGTATCAACTTTTAGTCAATTTCCCTTGAGCTTTCTCCTATATCCTGGAAGTGATGGGAAGCCACTGGACCTTAGTGAACAAGGGTGCAGCAACATGGCAGATGTATGCTTTCAGATGATTAATTTAAAAGCTGAATGGAGAACGGACTGGAGTGGGGAGAAACTCAAGGCAGGAAAACCAACTAGGATAACAGGCTATTACAGCAATCTAGGTATCAGGTTATGAGGGCCTGGATCAGGGTGGTAGCAGCTTCAGAGGAGAGAAAGGGATGTACAAAAGATGGTAGAATTGACAGCACTGTGAGACAAACTGGATATGAAGGTGAGAGTGGGGTGACTGAGGAGTGGAGGATGACACTTAAATTGTGAGCCTGAGTGACTTGAATTGGAAAGGATCACTGAATATGAAGTGAGAAGACCCAAGTTTCAATCCCATCTCTGCCATTTATTAGCTAAATGATTCTGGGCAAGGCTACTACTGGCCTTTCTGGACCTAGGTTTTCTTACAGTAAAATGAGTAAGCTAGAATAACAGATCTCTTAATTTTCTTTTCAGCACTAATGCTGTGATTCCATTACTCATAATAATAATAATAATAATAATAACTGACAAATGGTTCTTTAAGGTTTACAAATGCTATAAATTATCTCATCTGATTCCCAAAACAACACTGTGAAGTGGGTAGAGAGGCAACAAAGTACAGTGGAAAGAGTACCTGGAATCATGGGACCTGAGTACTAAAATTGCCTATGACCCTTACCAGTCGCCATAGGATTATATGCAAAACCTTTACCCTATATCTCTGTTTCTATCACTGTAAAAAGAAAACAAGAAAGAAAAAGGGGTGGGGGGGAATAATATTGTTTATGGCTCAAGAGAGTAGATGTATGTTAGGTACTTTGCATACCTTAAAACCCTATCTAAAGGTCAGGTATTATTACTATAAATATCAAATTTCATTTTACAGATGAGACTAAGCCTCCTGCAGATTAAATGACTTGCCCATGATCACACAGCTAGTAGTAAACATAAAAAGCAAGATTTGAACACAGGCCTCTCCTCACTCTAAGTCTAGAATTCTTGTAGAGCTTTTCCCAATGTACTATGCTACCTTTCTTCAATAAGACCTAAGATTTAGAGATGAAAGGGACCCTGAAAATCATTTAGCTCAGCCCCTTTATTTAACAAAGATCTCTCCAGAACAAAAGACTTTAAAAATGAAAATACTTCTTGTGAGCTTATGTTTTTGAACACAATTCAAAATCAAATACTGCAAAACCCAGAAGTAGTAGGTACAAGTAAAATTCACACACCACTTCTCCAATTAGTAGGAATTTATTTTAACAATGAGAGTAATTTATTTCTTAAGTGGTAAGTTTCAAATTGTACTGACATTGTACACAGTAACAGCAACATTATGCAATGATCAACTATGATGTACTAGCTCTTCTCAGCAATACAATGATCCAAGACAATTCCAAAAGACTCATCATGGAAAAGGCTATCCACACCCAGAGAAAGAACTATGGAGTCTGGATGCAGATGGAAGCATATTATTTTCACTGTTTTTACTTTCTTGTGGTTTTCCTCTTTTGTTCTGATTCTTCTTTCATGACATGACTAATACGGAAGTATGATTAACATGATTGTACATATATATATGTACGTATGTATGTATATGTCAGACTGCTTGCTGTCCTGGGAGTGGAAGGAGGGATAAAAATTTGGAACTCAAAATCTTATAAAACTGAATGTTGAAAACTATCTTTACATGTAATTGAAAAAAATAAAATACTATTAAGTGAGGGAAAAAAAGAAATGGTATTCTAAACAGATCATCAGGGAATATTTAGCTAACTGAATACTTAGCAATGTTTAAGAGCAATGAGAGTATCAATTCCCAGACATCTTACGACACCTAAAAAAATACTGTTTCCCATATTTAAAATTAGACGGAGCAAACATTTTACAAGTGACACTTTATCAAAATTTCAATGAACCATGGCTAATGCTTATCGTATGTTCATTTTACAATATAACTGAAATCCTAGAAAATAAAAATTAAAACTAAAATGAGAACTTCTGTTTGACAGTAACGTACCTGTTTAACTTTGTCTTCAAAGTCTGCATCATTCTTATCATAGATCATTTGAGCGAGGCGAATCTGTTCAGCTGTTGCCTAAAAAGTACAAAGAACAATTTAGGTTTCTGCAATAAAAAAACAATCAAAATGTCAAAATTTGCATAATGTACAAGAACCCAAAACACTATATTAATCTGAGTTATATAGTAAATAGCCCCCTTTTGCAACTTATACTAGCAATAATTATTATAAGGTAAACTTACCATAATAAAGACAAGTATTAGTGTTTCATTTCTGTATCTTAAGTGTCCTAAAATTTGTGTTCTACTTAGTCTCCACATGCTTTATTAGCATTAGATAATCACAGAAACAATGACCTCAACGATGTTTCTCTTCATAACTAAGCATTAAATGAAATGGGGTAAAAAAAGGGTGGGGGGGGAGAACAGCAGGAAGTGGATGTGTAGGCAGAAAGAACAGCTGGTATGGCAAATGAACTTGTTATAAAACCAAGGCTTAGTGGTATCATTCTTATAAGACCAAAGTAAAACAAACAAACAAAATAAAAACCTACCCGCCCCACTATATGTATATTAAAGGATAAAACCAATTATTTGACTTAAACCTCTTTTTTTAAAAAGCTAAATTGATGTCAAAACCTATCAACACAAATCATGTATGCATTTTGTAAGTATGCTCACACACAGCTTCCTAAAAATGTTAGCGAAGTTTTAAACTATTAAACAAGAAACTCTCTCAATTTCTGTCTCAGCTAAGTAACTGAGAAAAGGCAAGCAACACAGAGGATAGGGCTTAAAGCCTAGAAAAACTTGAAGCCTGAGTTCAAATCCTAACTCCCATATCAGCTCTATAATCCTGAGCAATTACTTACTCTCTCCGTACCTCAGACAATTCCCTAGAACATATGTATTCTTTTTTTTGGTGAGGCAATGGGGTTAAGTGACTTGCCCAATAAGTGTTAGGTGTCTGAGGCCACATTTGAACTAAGGTCCTCCTCAATCCAGGGCAAGTGCTATATCCACTGCGCCACCTAGCTGCCCCTAGAACATATGTATTCAATCTTAGATGAGTTTCAATATTCCTTGGTAGAGGGCAGTTTCCACATGGAAATTACATGTTCAGAAAATCAACTTCACACAACTGCGTAACTAATTAAAATGATTAAACAATCTATTATTTACTGTAGCTATAACACTTAACAATTTTTTGCAGTATTTCTTACTTTTTAGGTGCATTTCCTTTGCAGGTGTTGTTATTAACAGATTTTGCAAGTAATCTTATAGAAACTTCTTTTCTAATAGCTTCCAAGGCAGATTCAAACATATGCCATAGCCAAGTAACAATCAAGCATAAACTCCAAAAGCTACAATGTCTACATTGCACAGGCCAAAAAACTCTCTTGAATAGAGGTAAATAGTGAGCCTATTAACCTTTTCTCAAAATGTTTTTAAATGAATAAAATAAAACACACAGGATTACAAAGGAAAACAATTATAGTAAAATAAAGATGAAATTTTATTCTTATCCAAATTCATGGACCCCCTGAAAACTATCCAAAGGCTCCGGAGGTTGAAACAGAGGCTCAGGAAAGAGTTGAACAAGTCTGTGAATACAAGATTCCTTAAGAACCCCTAGCTCCAGAGATAGCAAACATATTGGCACAAAGCATTTCCAATGCTATATTCACAGTAACTCCCCAAGCTAGTCCTCTAATCTCAAAACTGTTAGTGTAAGAGAGGTTCTGGAGACAACATATATTCATCTCACAACAGTTTCCCATCAACATTTTTCCCAGTTATTTAACAGTGGCCTTAGCCTCTATTGGTTTCACCACATGGGTGATGCACTCTAGCCATGCATCAAGGATTGCCTACTATTCTTCAAGAAGCTTTAACTGCTCAGTATCTGAAGCCAGTAGATACACAGAACAGGGTAAAAAAAACCAGAAGACTATACTAAGATATTAAAGAGAAAAACAGTAAGATGAGGAAAGAGTTTAATCATAATTCTCTCCACTCTAGAAACATTTGCTTCTCATTATGCAGATCTAGGCCTGCTCCCAAATGCATCCAAACCTAAATACCAATACTCACACTCATTCTCTTCCTATTCCTCTCTTAATATCTGAAGAGGCACACTGGGAAAAGTATCTAGTCCTATCTGGGAGTTGAGTGGTAAATCTAAAATTCTTTTTCCAGAAGGCTAATCTCTAATCCACTCAAAAAGTCTCTTCTAAAAAATGTAACTTCCTGAAAACATACTTATTATATATAAACTCCCACTGCATACCCTTAACACTCTTTTGATTCTTTCCCACAAACTATTTCTAAAATACCATAACTATCTCCTTTCATTCATACTTCTGCTTCCTTGACATTTCCATTAATATCACTATTAAGTGCTATCTAATAGCATGTAATTCTTTTTATGTAAAATTTTATTTTTAATTATGAAATAAAATAAGCATTTCCATAACATAGTATAATAAAAAAAAAGATGACTACAGACGAAACTGCAAATCTATGTATAACCTGTTATTCCTTTTAAATATACAAGAAAGTTATCACATAGCTCTATACTAGCTGTGGAGAAGAATGGAAAAGAAATGTATGAGATGACTTACCTCAGAGGACCTTAAAATCTAGTTCTCACACACATAACTGAAAGTAATGTAACAAATAATTAAATGTCAATAGACTCTTCAAGGCTCTATCATTTTGGTGTAGGCACTTTCTAGTAACCCAACTCATGACCTCCATACAAATACAGTGTTGAGAGTCAGCCAACTGAAGATAAGCTTTTATGAACTTAACTACACTGGTAAAAGACAAACGTGGTTCAACAGAAAAGTTCATTTTAATGAACAGAATAAAAATCCTGAAAATGGAAGGGAATGGAATTCATCTAGTTAAACCTCCCACCAAATTAAAAAAAAATCCTTTTCTCAACTATTGTTCATATCATCCAGTCTTTGCTTGAATACTTCCAGTGTGACAGGGAGACCAGTACTTAAGCAGGGAAGCTTAATCTGTTGTAAAATCTTGTTATAAAAATTCTTGCCTTGCATTTAAATCTGTTTCCCCATTACTGGGTTCCTGGTCTATCTCTACAAACTACATAAATTACATCTCGGACAGTCCTTCAAACAAAAAAAGAGAACTACTCTGTTTTCCAAATCTACTTTTCTATTGGTTAGACCAGAGATTCCCAAACTTATTTGGCTTACCACCCTCTTTAAAAAAATTACTCAGCATCCCATTTTTTGAAATGATATATCTTAAATTTAATAATTTATCATAAATTTGTGGGTTTTTTCCTGCACTGAAATTTTGATGACACAATATTGTGTCACGTAACCAGACAGTATCATATCGTAAATAAGTCATTACATGCACATATTCCTGCCTATGCATGCTGGACTTCCCAACAATGTGGGACCTGTTCACCTGCCAACACCTGCTTGCTAAGACTTATAAGCAGCCACATCACTAATCGGTTATAGCTTGCATTCTGCGTGTTTATTTGGAAAACGATGTAATCACTACAACTTTAACTCTGTTACACAATAGATGAAACGGTTTTTACTCTAGGTCCCCCAATTGCACCTGAGGCTATCGCGCCCCCCCATCTATTCCAGTGCCCCCCAAGGCCAACTTTCAGAATCTCTGGGTTAGACAATTCCCAATTAGCCAAATATGCTATGCATGTGAGATTCCAGACCCCTCTTTATAGCCTCAGGTTGTCAGTATTCACACTTTTTTTCTTTTTTTGGTGAAGCATTTGGGGTTAAGTGACTTGCTCAGGATCACATGGTTAGTAAGTGACAAGTGTCTGAGGCCACATCTGAACTCAGGTCCTCCTGACTCCAAGGCTGGAGCTCTATGCTCTATCTACTGCACCACTCAGCTGTCCCACCATTCATCTTGTAAGGGACAAGGTATCATGCTCCCATAATTTAAGATAACCTTTGACATCTTACAACATCTGCAAAGAATTTGGTAATAACAAGTTACATTGTTTTAACAAGCTTGCAAAACCTTGAAAGGGCAAGCCAATGAGAAGGGCCCCAAAGTTCTAGAGGGCAGAGCCGGTTTTAACTAGCCCTAAGTAGGACAAAGGCTTTTGGATGATGAGGGATGTGGGGGGGCATGTCAAGGGGACATGGGATGGGTGGATGTGTAAGATTGTAACCTGGAAAGGAACGGGCCAATCCAGGCCTGGAAGGGAGGAGTCGTGGTGTTCTAACAGTATAAAACTTTTTCTCGCTTCTGTAATTGGCTCAGTTTCTTCCAAGAGGTTTTGCCTGGTTCTCTCACAAGAACTGTAATAAACGATTCTTCACTCACTCCGAGCTCAGTTTTGTTTTTAATTAGAAGGCTTTATTTCTCTAAGGCCTTATTTCCAACAATCTTAAAAAAATTTTTTTTTTGTTTTGGTCCAGACCTGCAAGTTGACTGGTATAGGAAATTCCTGCTGAGAATCATCTCTTGCCAATACAAATCAGTTACTCTGCAACTTATAATAACAAATATGCATCAGAAATAAGACTTGAACACAGGCATTTTTAACACCACAGGCCAGTGAGACCATTAACTCAGTTTCAACACTGTGCTTCTATTAATGCTACCCAAATCTGCATTATTAGTCTTTTTAGGAATGAATCATACAGGCTATACCAAGTTTGTTATGAACAATGCCTACAAGTCTTTTTCCATAGGAAATAATTCCCAGGTTATTTCCGAGGTCTTGCACATCCAATTCTCTGGAAAGAATTTCCTGAACTCAAAAAGGTTTTAATACTTTTTGGTCCAGACCTGGGATTATCATAAAATTTTGGTGCATATTTCCAACCTACAAGATCTGGCACTAAAAAAAGAATCAGTTGTCATGAAACACAACACAACTCTTGTGTTCATCTTAAACATGCTGATTATAGATTTAGCTAATGGCCAAAGACAAAAGACTGTGGCCAACAATGACAGAGTTCTCTCCAGGATGAATTATAAAATATATGGAATGACAGAATTGTACAGAATGAGACGCCAAGAGATTACTAACTTGCCAATGAATATACA